GTATGTATGTGTGTATGTATATGTGTATGTGTGTCTGTTACACATATGTACAAACAGATATAAGTACGTAAGTAAGTAAGTAAGTAAGTAAGTAAATACAAAATACATGTGTATATATATATATATATACATATATATAGGTACGCATCTTGCATGTAAGGGGATGCCTATCTAGGAACTATGAGGCCGAACGATAGACCATGGACAATCTTCAACACTTAGCAGTGGTATGCCCATGTACCAAGCCCTATTTTAATCCGTAAGGCGCTTACATAATAGTAACCCTTACAGCAATCCTTATTCATCCAAAGGAGCCCTATTGTAATCATGAAGGCACCGCTATTGGACCTTGTGTTTGGGGATTCGGGCTTTTGGTTTCACTTCAAGTTTGGGGTTGAGGGGTTTAGGGTTTAGGGTTTAGAGTTTAGGGTTTCGCTTTTAGGATGCACCTTTGGCTTTGTGGGGGTTTGTAGTGTTTGATGCTCAGGGATCTTTCGTGCGGAGGTTGCTGAAACAAGGGACCCTGAACCCACAAACCCTCATGGCGTGCTCAAAACCCTGTAAGCGACTGTAGAACCTGTCATGACAACCCTATAAACTAACCAAATGAAGCCTTGGCTCCCCAGACCAGCAGCCCCCGCAACACCCATGCTTGAAGCGCCCAGCGACTCCTCTGGAGGGGATTCTGACTTTAAGCAACTGCAAGTATTCCCTCCTACATCATCCCCTGAAGGATTCATCAAGCTGTGTGGCTTTGTGTAGGCGAACCCTCCAATGCACCTCTTCTATGATGACACCCTCAAAGGAACCCTATTCTAATGATTCAGATCCCTGTACTAAGACGCGGCCAGGTTGTCGAGGAGGAAGAGGAGGAGGAGGAGGCGTCCGACAACGACGCCAGCCCATACAGTTCCTCGATGGCACAAACGGTGGTTTAGGGGTCTGGGGCTTTGAGGGTTAAGGGTTTAAGGTCCAGGGTTCAGGAGAGCCCTAAACCCTAAGCCCTCAGACCCCGGTACCTTAAACCTTAAACCCTACGGCTTAAACCCTAAAGCCTGCTCGTGTAGAGGCAGACTTGCAGGTCTCTCCGGTTATTTTAGGATTTTCGAGGGTCGTCGGGGCGAGTGTGTAGTGTAGGTGCCTGACTAAGAGCCCCCCCCTTTAACTAACGCCCTAAGCCCTAAACCCTAAACCCCTAGTAGCAGAGTGGGTGGCCTTTGACTGTTTTGGGTACTGCAAGTCCCGCCCCAAGGGATGACCTTTAGCTCATCCCCCTGTGCTACCGGGACAAGCCAGGGATAGGTCTTAAGAGCCTTAGGAGGCGACCGAGGTTGCTGAATCAGGTTCCTTTTTGAGTTTTGTGGTTTTAGAGGTTGGGGTGCCAGGGAGCTGGGTTTCGGGGTTTCGGGTTTGGGGGTCTGGGGGTTGAGCATTACGACTGGATTCTGACTTGAAGTATCTACGTATGTCCTTGGGCTTCTGCTACCAGAAACCCCCAATGCATTTTGGGATCGCCCTTTGGGTCTTCACTGGTGTCTAGAGGCCCTTTAAGGTGCATGATGCGGGGCACAGGCCCGGGAAATTTGTTGGCAAGGCCGGAAATTCGTGGGCAAGGCCGGAAATTCGTGGGCAAGGCTGGGAAATTCGTCGGCAAGGCGGCTGGAAATTCGTGGGCAAGGAATTCGGGCCGGAAATTCGTGGGCAAGGCCGGGAAATTCGTGCAAGGCTGGCTGGAAATTCGTGGGCAAGGCTGGGAAATTCGTGGGCAAGGCGGCTGGAAATTCGTGGGCAAGGCCGGGAAAGTCGTGGGCAGGGAAATTTGTGGGCAAGGCTGGGAAATTCGTGGGCAAGGCTGGGAAATTCGTGGGCAAGGGCGGAAATTCGTGGGCAAGGCTGGGAAATTCGTGGGCAAGACTGAAATTCGTGGGAAAAGTTGGGAAATTCGTGGGCAAGGCGCAAGGCTAAATATAGGGAGATCTGAGATACTGCAGTTAATCCAGAAACAGCAGGCTATAAAAGATATTTGTGCTGCTTATTCGGACAGCTGCATTATCAGAATGCAGCTGCTCATTCAAGCATCTGCCCTGGTTTCGCATTATGCTGCGCTGCTTGGGCTGCTTGCTGCCGCAGCTAGTGATGAGAACAGCGTCTTTGCAAAAAGGTGACTGCATCCAGCAGTTGTTAAACCTGTTCACGAGGCTAAAAAAGTCAGAGTCAAGTATTCTACCTATTGTAAGCAACTGGCTTAAACATATATTATTTTTGGCTCCTCAACGGGAGTTGTATAGGGCTATAGAGGAGTAGTATAAGGGTTATGAAGGGGGATACTAGGACTGGAGTTTAGATTCTGCCCTGGCCAATAGCAGACAAACCGAGGCTACTCTACAATCCTCACGGGCTACTGCCGACAAGGAGAACTAGAGAAGGCCTCCGGCTGAAGGAAGCTATCCCAAACGTCGGTGAGTCTGGTGCTTCACTAGACGAGCTTGTGTGCAACACTCTCCTTGAAGGCCCCTGTAGTTGCCGCGTTTGACGGCCTTGGCCATTTGGTAAATGTTGACATCATGTGTGAAACGTCCTGTTGGCTGATGGACATATGTTTATCCTGCCACTCTGTGTGTCTGCGTGGGCTACTGTAGCATGTCTTGTGGCATACCTGGCAGCAAGACATGGGGGTAGATTGACTGGTCCCGTAAAAGCTGCGTGAATGCAGACGACTGGAGAGCAGGCCGCCGTGTGACATGCTTGTTGGGCACCAGTGATTCTAGACACCTGCAGACCGCGATACCCCGCCCAGAGCAGATAAACTGTTTACCGTCGCTTCTTTTGATCTCCCACACCTCATCAAAGTTGATCCCGAAACGGGGTCGAAACTGTTGCTCAGGAACTCCACTTCCACATGCCCTGCATTGAACCCGACACTATGCCTGTCCTTCCTCCACAGTCACCATCACTGCCATGGCCTCCTCAGTGCTGTTGCCTCTTCGAGACATGATGGCCCAGCCGGACCCCCAAGCACTTTGACCAGCTACAGAGTTGACCGTCCTTGCAATGGCAAGTAGCTGAAAGGCTGCGGCCTCCTTGCAGAGATGGCGTCTTCGGGAATCTCGCCGTCCTCACGGACGGAGAGCATTCTTACAAGGTGCGTGTTTCGGATGGAGAGCGTGGAGCGCGATCAGATCTAGCCTATCACCTTTCATAGTTAGCTTCATTAATTTGGCGGTTCCGGTTGTTCAGATTTTTTTATACCCACCCCTCTCGGTGTCAATACATGCCCTATGCCCTTCCCCCTCGTTTCGTGATTCCGCGTCAGCTCCGGTTCATCATATATCATGAACACCCACCCCCGCCCCCCCACTCGGCGATTCCGGTTCATCACATATCTCAAACACACCTTCCCCCTTTCGGCGAGTCCGGTTCTTCACATATGTTAAACACGCCTCCCCCCCTCATTCGGCTTTTCCGGCTCATCATATATCTTAAACACGCCGCCCCATCTGTCCGTTGCATCATAAATCTTTAACATGACCCCTCACTTGGCGATTCCGGTTGGTCATATATCTTAAACCCCCCTCAGTCGGCTTTTCCGGCTCATCATACTTCTTCAACACGCCGTCTCATTTGGGGATTCCGGTCCCTCATATATCTTAACCGGGCCTATTCTGATTTGTCATATGTCTTAAGCACCCCCCTCATTTGGCGATGTCGTTCATCGTATATCTTAAACATGTCCCCTCACACGGCGATTCCGGTCCATCATCGCGCATGCGTTCATGATTTGCTGTACGACCCAACCTCATATGCTGACGACAGTACTTGCCTAGGGACCTGGAACATTCCGTTCGACCACAACTACGCAGCCCGCACAACCCGGAGCTGTGACGGAAAGGAAAAGACCAGCAACACCTTTAGACCCTGTCGGGCACCAATGGTTGAGTATATGGCTTATGGCTCATCGTTTGTGCATCACTGACTCGTTTATGACGCCTCACTGGGTCACTGCTGGTACCAGCCGCATTCTTAAACGATCAAAGGACACCAAACAGCACATGGGAAATTTTCGGTGCCTACAGAGGCTGGACATCAGAAAAAAGGTGTCCGAGAAAAAGACCCTTTGAGGCACAAAGAGGCGTGACCCCAGAGCCAAAAAAAGGCGAAAGCCCCCACCGCCCCCC